AAATCCATATTGCATTTAAATAGTTCTCCAGGTGTTTATCAGTTAGATTGTAGATTTGTTGTTATGTCAGTGAAAAAAGAAATAAGTAGAAGTTTTTGAAAAGAACTATAACTATTATTTAACGTTGCTGACGTTTGCTTTAACTTGAGATGTTAATGCTCATTAGAGAAGTATAACTAAAGGCAACTGGGGCGAGCAACATGTCGAACATGTGCAACATTGTAGTGGTTCAATTAACTGGGGCGCAACATGTCGAACATGTGCAACATTGTAGTGGTTCAATTAACTGGGGCGCATCAGTCGAACATGTGCAACATTGTAGTGGTTCAATTAACTGGACTAAGCCAAAAATACTTTCATTATGTTTATTGCTTACGATTGCAAGAGAATGTCTTAAACCGCAACAATGGTAATTTAGTAATGACACGCCATTAGAGATCACTTTTTGTTAAACTAAACAAGTCTGAATTTGTTACTCATTATATGTACCATCTAATCATTAATTAATTAATGACATTATTTCATTTTAACTTTATGAATTTGTATAACAGTTTTTTCAGTTTGATTATTTTTTTTGTTTTTTTATCATTGAATTATGTGTTTTTTTATATTTGGATTTATATACTTTAGGCCATGTGTATTGACAAAGTTGTTAACTTTCCGTTTCCTTCACCTCCTGATTTAAAAGCCCTACAAGTATGTATTTTTTATTAAACATTTTCAGTTTTTAAAAAATTAGTTTACATTAAATGTCTATTGATTGAAAAAAAGCCTCAAACTCCAGCCATCTTGTTTAATATTTTAAGTACGCTGTCTATCTGTTTGTCTGCTTTTTGGGATTACGAAATTAAACACTATGTTTTATATAGCTTAAAAAAAAAGCATACAAATGCTTCCAAATTTCATTTAAAATGTTAAACTTGGAAGCGTGTGCTTCTTTTTTGAACTATATAAAGCATAATATAATAATCCATAAAAGCAGACAAACAGATAAATAGTGTTTAAAATACTAAACAAGATGGCTGGAGTTGAAGGCTTTTTTTGTCAGTCTGTGGACATTTAATTATGATGTCTATAAAAGATATTTCATGATTAAAGTGACTAACATTATAATGCTACTTTGAACTCTGTCATTTTTTTTATGTTCAAGTAAATATTATTTTAAATGTAACTTGTCAAAAAAACAAAATTTAAACAAAAAAAATGTCAGAAAAAGTACAAAGAACAAGTTAAAAAAAAAAAAAAATGGAAAAATTAATGTGGTTTCTTTATATGTATTTACTTAACAATATCTTTTCAGGGTGAAAAAGGATTATAAGAATTATTTGAAAATTGGTTTTAAGATTAAATGCGTATTTATAGAGATCCCAAACCTCCAAGATATGTTGTGTTTATATTAAAGAGAATGATAAAAAAAAAAAAGTTTGGGTTAAGTTTTTAGGATTTAAAACAATAGAATAAATGTATACCAAGAAAAACTAAATTTTTTATTTTAGTTGAAGCTTGCCTTCTCCGTTTTGTTATAAGCCAAAAAGTCAGCATAATATACACCGCAATCTACAGACTTGATAATTTATTCAAGCCCTTTTTATTTCTAAGAGTTTTAGTACATGATGTCATTGATTTTTTTTGTTTGTGTATAAGGTTGGTTATGTAAACAAAAAAAAAAGTCAATGACATCATATACTAAAACGCGCCTGAAGCTATTAAGTCTGTAGATTGCAGCATTATTATGCTGACTTTTTTGCCTACAACAAAACAGAGGTGAGCTTCGATTAAAATAAAAAAGTTGGTTTTTTCTTAGTATGCATTTATTCTTTTGTTTTAATTTTAAAAAATCTAGCTCAAACATTTTTTTCTTTTTTTTTTTTCTTTTTTGTATGAGCACAACTTGGGATTCCTTTAAGTAAATAAATTGTAATAAATGGTTTTTACTATATTTACACTTTTTTTAATTTAATGATTTACTACAACTATTACAATATATTTTAAAATATTCATAATAATATATTAAAAACAAAATTATTATAAAGTTCTTAATTATTTTGTAATAATATTTTATTTTAAGCAAATTTTAACTTGTTTTTGCTTAAAAATTACACTTCAAAATTTGTAATTTTTGTATTTGTAATTTTTTTTTAATTTTATTTTTATTTTTGCTGTTTATTAAAAATCTATAGGCTGCAGAAAAAATTTTAATAGATCTTGGAGCATTGAAAATTCAATCTTCAAAAAAAGGTATGTTTACATCTATTTTTTTCAATAAACATGTTTTAGTATTAAGTTTAGTATGAATGAACACATTAAATCTTTTTCTTTAGGAAGTGATGTTGCAGTTATTACATCTTTGGGTAAACAAATGTCTAAAATACCAGTATCTCCACGGTTTTCAAAGATGATTTTACTTGCGAGTAAAGAACAAGGTATTTTACAATTCGTAATAGCAATAGTTGCAGCTCTAACAGTTAAGGTACATATTTTTTTTTTTTTTTTTCAAAATTTATGTTTTCAAAAGTTATTAACCTTAAAAAGTTTTAATGGAAATATTTTTTTTTTACTTTTTTATTATCTAAGTTTAAAAAATTCTCTCCATTTAACAACATATTTATTAATTTGTTAGCTTTTATTATGAGTGTAATGCTTACTGTATAAATTTCAGTGTAATTCTCACATTGTAAATGTCAGTGTAATTCTCACATTGTAAATTTCAGTGTAATTCTCACATTGTAAATGTCAGTGTAATGCTTACATTGTAAATGTCAGTGTAAAGCGTGTACAGGAAATAAATGTGAAAGTAGAAAAATAACTAAAAAAAAGTACTCTTCAATTTTTATTTCTAACCAAGTAATAACTTTAATACAATAATGTAAGAAGATCAAATATAAAAAAAAAAATCAAATTATTCCTGTGGGAATCTAATAAAATTTCGAACTTTTACTTTGGTGGTACCCATAAGCTTGTGCACAGAATAAGAATTGAAGCCATTTGATGCTTTTTTAAATGATACTTTTATATCTTTAATAATTCTGCAAAGTTTTTTTGTTTTTTTCACTTTTCTTTTAATAATGGCCCCGTACTTTTCAATAACTCTTTATTCTGGGCAGTTTGGAGGATTTTCTGTTTTAGGCACAAATTTCACATTATTATTTTTATACCATTCCAAAGCTAGTTTACAATAATGAATTGAAGCTAAATCTGGCCAGAACACAGATCTCTTATCATGTGATTTAATGAGAGGTAAAAGGCGTTTTTGTAAACACTCTTTAACATATATTTGACCCGAAAGTGTGGATTGAGAAATATAAGGTGCTGATTTTTTGCCACAACTGCAAATAGCTTGCGAAATCAAGACTTTTTTAGCAAACTTGTCATGTTTTATGTATTTAAATTTCCTATCTGCTTTTTCTCTACATTTGGCAATATAATAGACGGCACCAGGAATTAGCTGATGAAATTTTTAGAAATAAAATTGTCATACAACTTTCTGCAGCGGGTTTTTGCACCTTTTTTTTGAGTTTCAGATTGGTTGGGCACTTTTTGTGCTTTGAAAGAATGAAAACCATGTTTATTTCGAACTTTTACAACAAAACTGTGAGAAAGTCCATAAATGTTTGCACGCTCCGTTAGTGAAAGGCTTGGGTTAGTCTTAAAACGGTTAACCAGTTTTCTAACTAGTATTTTATCTTTAAAACCCTTATTTCTTCCACCACCAGATTTACGTTTGATCGATTTTGTTTGAGAAAAACGTTGTATTACACGACTAACGGTGTATGGATGTATTTGCAACGCTTTTGCTATCGAATTGTAGCTACTATTGGGATTTTCCAAATATTTGTGCATAATTTTTTCTCTTATGTCTTCTTCTTTTGTCATTTTTGAAACTAATTTTAAGTTAAATCAAAAAACTAATACATTTTGAAACCACAACCCAGTGGAAACACGTTGTAAACAAAATACAAAATAATTAAAAAGATTTTAATATAAACACTGAAAAAAAATGACGTACTTATTCTTTCACATTTATTTCGTGTACACGCTTTAATTCTCACATTGTAAATGTCAGTGTAATTCTCACATTGTAAATTTTAGTGTAATCCTCACATTGTAAATGTCAGTGTAATGTTTACATTGTAAATGTGAGTGTAATTCCTACATTGTAAATGTCAATGTAATGCTCACATTGTATATGTCAGTGTCAATGTCAATGTCAATGCTTAAATTGTAAATGTCAATTTTATGTTATGTTACACAAAATGCTACTTGAAAAAGTGTTTCTGTATTTACAGAAAGTATATGAAGCATTTTATATTGTGTGTTTTAGGTTGTTCTTTATAGAAATTATTTGCATAAAACATTTTTTGTATTTTGTTTAAAGAAAAAGTAATGAGTATTTAGTATGACTACATATTAAATTTTAAATATTATAAAAAATGGAAATAAATAAACAAGTGGGACCCATGTGGGTCCCACTAAGTATATGAGTATTGTTGGAAATTATACTTTAAACATTTAATTTTGAAGAATGTTGTTAAATATTTTAGGAGATATTTACTGACGATATTGACTTTTCAAACCAGCCAGAACTTGAGGTAAAATTATTTAAATATATTTTGTGTTGTTATTTTATTAATTAATTATTTATTAATTAAACTAATTAATTTTGCAATGCTTGATTTCTTTATATTTCAGCTTGACGATCTTAAGAAAAAGAAACAAATGATCACAATAGCAAGAAGAAGTTGGGCGGGTAGTGTAAGTTTGTCTTTAGTTAATTGTTTTTTAAGATAATTCAACTCGAAACTTAGTTTAAAAAATAATAAATAATAATTTAAAATATTTGAAGGGTGAAACGGCATTGCTTGGTGACCTGATGGTTATTTTAAGAGCTGTAGGTTCCTGTGAATATGCTGGTTGTACTGAAAATTTTTGCAAAGAAAATGGACTAAGGTATAAAGCAATGACAGAAATCAGAAAATTGCGTTCACAACTCACAAAGACTGGTAAGTGTATAGCACATATATGTTCACAATAAAATACAAACACTAACTTCAAGAAGACTGTTTCAGTTGAAACACAGTTTATATTTTAAAACACTTTTATATTTTTTTATTAGGCTTATCGGATATTGAATCGTAAGGAAGTTTTTTGTCTGAGTAATTCACAATAGATGTTTACTAAGAGGTTCCCAAGTACTGAGACAAGTTATGTTTGTTTTGTGCTTAAACATTAGAAAATAAGTTTACTAAACTTATCAAAATAAATTAATGAGAACAAAAAAAAATTTGTTGTTTTGCTAATATACTTTTGGTCTGGTTATTATTAACTTTATGAATCTGCATGTTTTTTTAAAATGATTTTGTTTATGTAATCAGATTAGGTTTACTTTTTTTATAAAAAAAGGTAGTGCTACATGTAGCATTTCAGTTAAACAGCAAATTTTTGAGAATATGAAAATTGTAATTTAACAAAGAGTTCTGTATATTAAGAAACAAACTTTACAAAATTTTAATTTTATAGAAATGAAGTTAGCAACTTATTATAAATAAGTGAAAAATCATATTTATTTTTATAACAACTTGAACAAAGTAAAAAAATGCATAGTACATCTTAAAAGAAATCATTAATATTAAAACACTTAATGCACCTATTTAACTAAATCTGAATGAAACAGACTAAAGTAATGAAACAGACAAAGTAGTGATTTTGTTTTATTTGATTTAATTCCTACACTTGATCAGTCATCTACCCTTCACCTTCTAGGATTAACTCTTTCGATCTTTCTTGGAAACCATATATCAAATCGATTGCAAAATCAGCATCTACTAAGTTTGCATCTCTTTATAAATGCTGTAATAAGCGCTGCCCTAAAGAACTAGTGTCTTTTGTGCCATCTACTAAAATTCATTCTTGTGTTACTCATCTTTCAATTAAGTCTCATCCTTTTTCTGTTACTGTTCCTAAGTGCTCTAAAAATTCTTATTCATCCAGTTTTTTTCCTTGAATATCAGTTCTTTGGAATTCCCTTCCTTCATCTTGTTTTCCTTATTCATATAATTTACAATCTTTTAAGTTGTCTGTCAATCGTTATCTTGCTCTATAATCTTTATCTTTTCTTATCCAGTAACTTCCAACTCTAATAGTGGTTGCTTGCAGCCTTGTTAGAAGTGAAGATGTTAAAAAAAAAAAACAAAAAAAAAACAATATTAAAGTTCTTCAAAATCCTCGAAGGCCTTCTTCATTTCCAGTTACTTTTAGGGTACCTCAAGGTACTATCCTAATTTTTTTCTTATCTACATTAATGATCTTCCGACAATCTTACATCTAAAGTAGCTCTTTTTGCTGACGACTCAATTTTATACTCCTGTCTTGACAAAAAAAACTTTTTATTTGCTTGGAACAAGCAGCCAATCTTGAAACTGATCTCGCTTCTGTAACAGATTAGGGCTTGCAGTGGCTTGTGAATTTTAACAACAACAAAACTCAGTTATTTACTGCAAACAACTATTGCAATACTGTCAATGTACCTTTATTCATGAATTGCAATGCTCTCACTGAGTTTTTTCTTCTTCAGGGATTATCATTCACTACAGTCCTCTCATAGAAATAATATACAATCATGCCATTATCTTACTACTGATTCCATTCTCTACATCTACAAATCTCTTATTTGTCCCTGTATAGTGTACTGTTGTCATATTTAGGCTGGTTCTTTTAATAAGGATCAATCTTTTTTTAAAAAGTTCCAAAACACATTCTTTAAGCTCGAGCCTCTCATTGTTGTAAAGTTGCATCTCTTTCTCTTTTCCACAAATACTATCATGGTTTCTGCTTAAAGAAGCTCCACCAACCAAAACTCTCGCTTGACTCGTCATTCAGCAAAGTCATTTTTTGTATCTGTCCCTGCATGCCCAAAAACTTTTATTTGTCTAGTTTTTTTTCCCCCACTTCAATCCTTTGGAACTCTCTCTCTCTCTCTCATCTTTATGTTTTCCTGAATCAAAAATTTTTCAACCTATTAGATTCATTAGAATTATTTAACCCTTTCACTCCCGAATATTTTTTGCAATATTCCCCGAGTCAAAATTCCTGTTTCTGACTCAAACATTTTAAAACCTTTTAGTGACTAAAATAATGAGCAAATCTCTGTGAAACTTGGCTCCTTTTTTACTAATATATTAATTAAACAAAATAATTAAAAAATATATATTTACCATGCTTCTAAGACGTCACACGACTTACAACAGTCTTCAACATAAATCAAAATTTTACTTTTTTGCAGTATAATCTAAAAATAAATCAAAATATTATGTTATAAACAAATAAAACTTGTTTAAACAAATAAAAGTTTAAAGCAATCACTTAACTAGTTTATACCAAAAAAAAGTTAAGTATCATAAAAACTCTACAAAACGGAGAGATTCTAAAAATATGAGATTTTTTAAAAATTTGTTATTTTAAAATGAATTTTTTTATTATATTTTTAGCATGAAAAAGAAAATTAATTGTAAGATAAAAGATTAAGTCTATCTATGTAAACAAAACAAATTACAATAATTAAGTTTAGTGTGGTAAGCTTTGAAACAAGTATCTGGGTGAAGCCCTGGTTCAGATGAGTAAAATCGACAAACATATGTAGTTTTTAGTGATTGATATTTAGTTGATAGTTTTCCTCTTACATAGCACACTCTACATCTATTGGTTGCTCTTTTATCTGTTACATCTAGCGAAGCTACTTTTAGTGAAGGGAAGTGTCTCCCAGTAAGACAAGACATTGCATCATCAAGTATTTGGTTGTTTGGTATGGCTGGATTTATTAGTACTAAAAATAAAATAGTGTCATGCAAGAAATCTAGGAATTTTATTTTGGAAAACTTTATGCGGATTAAGTATCACCTGTGAAATCATTCTGAATGCTAATTTTTTGTACCACATAAGTTTTATACAATGAGCGTAAACTATGTAACTGTTGATCAACTCTGTCAACTTTTTCCTTGTGACTATTATATGATCGTTATTAACTGATGGTTTGTATATTTGAGTTTGAGTCATTTACATAGGTTTTACCAGTGTCAATCATTTTTGCTGAATTGCAAGTTAACAACATACATACAACATTCTGCTTATTTCCTGACTTATTTTTGACAGCTCAATATTTACATGTAATAACACATGAATCTGTGTTGTGGAGCGAGTACAGCTTCCCTTTTTCAGATATAAACTCAGCAATTTCTTTACAGTACTTTTTTCTATTCAATTTAAATGTTCCACAAAGGTGTGTATTTCTTTCTAAAAAAAAAGGTGCTAATGAAGGGCTTGTGTAGTAGTTATCTGTAAACAGTATATGTCCTTTGTCTAGAAAAAGGTTCCATCAGTGTAGCTGGTATTCGCTCAGTGCTGTACATCCTCATTTCCATCTTCATAAAACATACCAAAAAATCTAGTGTTAATCCACTTGATGTGGTCAATTCATAAAGTTTTTTTGGTACGAACATTTTGCTCTTTTTGTACTAACATTTTTGTATTTTTTGTTTAAAATGCAACTGTCCATTAAAACCTGCAAGTAATAAGTCAACACTAAGATTTTGTCGAGGGTAGAATACATTTTTACATCGGTCTCTAATTAGTTTTATTAATGGTTGTACTTGGTGTAATCGATCACGGTTTTCATCATTTACATCATAATTTGGATCATTATTATTGTTGAAGTGTAAAAACTTAAAAATCAGTTGAAAATTAGTGTGTGACATTATTTTAGAAAATATTGGAGTGCTAAAAAACTCAGGTGTAGACCAATACATTTGAATATCAGGTTTATATATAACTCCCATAAGCAAAACAAGAGCCAGATACTTTTTTTATTTCTAAAACAGTGACCAGTTCCTAAATTCCTACATATTGATTGCTACGTTTATTTAGGTTCTTATCTAGAAAATCTTAAGCATAGCGATTTGTTTCAATTACTATGAGTTCAATAATATTAGGTGTCAGATATAGTTTAACAAAATCTAAAGGAGAATTTTCTTACATTATTCTTACTTTAAGTCTCTCTACTTTAAAGAAAGGTATAATTCCTTCAACAGCATTATCCATTTGAACATGTTCCCATGTTGATATTAAATCAATTCCTTGTTGATTAATTTTTGCAACTCTAGTATTGGGTTGTCCTTTTCTACCACATGGCTTTTCCTTTTGTTGTTGCCTTTTTTTCTCCTTATCTATGTTAGTAACTTGAAATGTTTGATTTTTTTTGACACTGTTTCATTGAAGTCAATGGCGAGTTTTTACTCTTTTTCGTTCCGCTACAACGTTTTAACTAACGGAACCAAATAGTTGATCAGGGAATAGGGTCTCGTTATTCTCTTTAGGATTTATTTCCTCACTTTTCTTCAATTTCTTCTTTCTCCTCTTTATCGATATCCATTTTATTAACCTGATTTATTTGACAAAAGTCTGGTAAAGAAGGACAGTTTCTGTTCTGAAAATCATCAAGTAAAGGCAAATTAGGAGCTACAATAAATTTTATATCTTCCTCTTCATATTCCTAATCTGTTTTGGGTTCGCTTTCATCAGCTGATAACTCACCAAGGTCTATTTTCTAATTCACTAAAATCTAAAATAAAAATTTATTTTTAAAGTGTTTTTTTTTTTGAAATTTTTATATAATTTCCCTTCATTTGAGACAACATGACATACTTTTGAAAAATGTTTTTTTTTGATACTATATATCTGATTTTTGATCTGATTATCTATATATATATATACTTTTTATATATATATATATATATATATATATATATATATATATATATATATATATATATATATATATATATATATACTTTTTTAATTATTTTACATATATATGTAGACCACATGGGTAAAACCACAGATGTCACATTTTTCTCATTTTGAGAAAAATGAAATTTAGTGATTAGTGACATTGGATATCTGTTTATTAATAATTTATTTAATTAAAAGTATATTTTTGTGATATTTTAGT